GCGGACATCGTCTCTCCACACTACTCGAGCCACAGACCTCAAGAGCATGAACTTCGCCTCAGAGGACTGCGGGTGCTTGACCAATCGATCCCTCACCGTGCGAGCCGCTTCCATCATGATGTACTTGACGATGCGTCTTTCGGAGGAAGCCACTTGACAATGCCAATCCACCTATGGCGAGAGACTCTGAACATGCCGCGCATTGTCGGAATCTCAGATGATAAAGGGAACGATCCGCCGATCATCCGCCGGCGCCGCAGGCCGCGGTGCAAGATGCAGAGCAATAGGTGCATGATCACTGATGCCGCGTTCGTGGAGAGTCTCAGGAAACTCCGGCGTCGTCGCAGACATCTACCACTGCAGAGCCCCCCAGCCAGGCATCGAGAGAAAGACGCGATCAATCTGAATGAGCTTCCGCTACGCCTCGTTCGCAACGTAGCGGATAGGAATCCCGTTGTTGACCTCAACAAAAGAACTGAACTGCTGCTTCCAAGCTGCCTCGTTCGCCCGAGGAGCAACGTCAGAAGCAGGCCTGCGCCTGTCGATCTCAGGCGCTCTGGGGCACGCGGGCAACGCCGCGAGGATGCTGAAGTCTCCAGGAATAACGATAGACATGCGATCAGGTGCCGTCTCCGCCAGCGCGACGTCACGAGAGATTCGCGGCGCGTTCCTGCCCCTGCGCCCGTGAGATGTCGAACTTGTGCACATTATAGATGACCGTGGACCGTGAGCGACTGGGAACCTCGCAAATGCTCGAGACCCTCAGCCGCTGGATCCTCCCATGAGCCAGCGCCTCGTGCCAGAACCGAGCCCGTTGATGCACCCCAGGGACAGCACATGGCACAATAATCGCGATCCCGCCCGCGTCCCTGCGCTCACAGGACGACGAGAAGGCGAGATGACGGATGTTCAACGTGTAGCACTCCTGCTCCAACTCCATGCGCGCGGCGTGGATTTCCTGAAGGGCCACCACCGTACCTCACTGCAAAAACTGTCCCAGGTACCTCACCTTGCGTTGCCGCGTCTGCGGATCGTGATGGAGGAGAGCACGCGAGCTCCATGCAGCAACCGAGGAAAGGACGAGAAGGTGTTGACTGTGTCCGCCACGGGGCACACGGCCGTTAAATATCCCATTGCACTGTTTCAGATTCCCCGAACAGGTTGTTGAATGCAGCGAGCACGGCGCACTTATCCAACCCAGCATCAGCAAGCAGCCTATGATTCCACTCCAGCGTCGTCGGTGCGGCAAGGTCGTCGGGGACGAGAACTCGCACAGCTGGGGGTCGAGGTACGAAATACAACTCCTTGCGCACAATGGGCCCTCCATCGGCCAGGGCAACCTGTGCTGTGGACCAGCTCGACTAGTTTCTTAGTTTGTATGTCTGGACGGACTTGCTGCGCATGTTCGTCGAGGCTGATATACACATCCGTGGGCTTGTTCTCGGCGTCGAGGGTTGCGAACTTCCTTCAACCTCCTCCCTGTAACTTAAGCTTCTTATGAGCATGTATAACTTGCTTTGCAGCCAGCCCTGGAGCACCTTTGAACGCGATGACGAAGCGCCGACAAGGTGAGTCACCGATGACGTGTCATTGATCATCTTGGAAGCCCGCCTCCTCGAGCCAAGGGCGAGCCGCCAACTGAATACTGTGCGACGAAACCGCCACGGTTGGGCTGCCGAGTGAAACCAGCGACGTCGCCATAGTCAGCCACAGGAGCAGCCTGCTCACATTGAAGAAGTACCGCCCTCATCCGAGCCAAATCCTCGGCCATGGGTTTGTGATCACGTTCCGAAGCTGCCTGCCGCGAATCGAGTTCACGAAGTCGGAGATCGGTGGCCTCATGTTTGGCCTCCTGCTGCGCAGCGAACTTACGTAGCGCCTTCTGATCATTGTCGGATAGCTTCGTAGCCAGATACTTGGTCGAGGCCCCAACGGACTCTGGGATATCTGACTTGTGAGGTCGGCGAGGAGACGATCCAACTCGAACTTGCACACTGGGTCCTTGCCTCTGTCGGGTGGGGTCGGGTGTCCGTCAGCTCCAGGCGGGGACGCCGATTCCCAAGGGTCGTTCACAGCGAGAGGATCAAGCAGACCAGCATCGCCCAGCTCATCCTTCTGAGCCTCCGCAGCAGCACGAGCCTCCTTCTCCCCCTCAAGCTTCGACCTCTTGCCCTCAGGGGTCTCCCCAGGCGATCTGGCCGAGCCAGCAGTGGCGCCCCGAGGACGACGACAGGCATCTCGGCGCTTTTGCACACCAGGTGGACCCGACGAAGGAGCCATCCCCGCAGGCACGTAGTGAGCGGGAAACGTGTCGTGGTTGCAAGGGGCGCGAGGGCTGGGACCTCACTTCAGTACTCAAGTACGGCCCAACAAAAACACCGCTGCGCCTGAGGGAGCGCACGTGGTCGTGGGCCGCGACTCCCACAGACAAGTCTGAGCGAAACACTCCGGACTTGAGCCAAAATGGCTATGGAAGAAGAAGAAGACGCATATGCATAAGCATACCCTCTTCGGATTTCTTGGATCGGCGCTGGACCCCCCCTCCCTGGGAGTGCCAGAGGCGCCACCAGGGGGGCCCACCGCCGATCCAAGAAATCCGCACGGACCTCCTGGAGTCTGTGTGCATGCCACCTGTCTTGTTCGAGAAAGAGAACCGAGGCCCTGTGAGGTCCACGTGTGAGCCTCCGGGGATTGGAACGTGATGAGAGATGTTCGTTTGGGGCCGCCAGTGGAAGCGAGGTCCCGTCACAACCGGCTGCGTGTTGCCGACTGCAGGTGCCCCGACCGACCTGCTTTTCCGGAGGTCAGATTAAACTTCGCCTGCCTTCCGCCAGCCTTCCGCCGAGGGCGAGGCATCACCCCCTCGACTCCTCAAAGGCGAGGCCCTTCCTTGAGCGCCCTACGGATGTGGTGGGCACTTCGCGGAGCGCCCGAGGGGCTCAGAAGACTGCGGCAATGCCCCGTTCGAAGGCGCCCAAAAGGCGAGACCCAAGCTCATAACAGGATCAGTCAGCATCGAATCAAAAATCCGCCGATCCCGGCGTGTGAGTTTATGAGAGCGTGGGCTTGAGCTCGCTCAAACTTCGCTCTGCAAGGGGCGGGGGACGCGCACGACGAAAGAATTGACACGCAAGGCCTCCCCAATGCCGGGACCGCCCCGCCCCTGCACCTTCCTCTCCGGCGCCCCCCCCCTCTCTTCCTGCACCCCCCCCTTCCCCTGCAATCTCCTCTCCGCCCCCCCCCCTCTTCCTGCACCCCCCCCGCCTCTGCACCTTCTCTTTCCCCAGCTCCCCCCCTCCCCCCTGCACTGCGCCCTGGACAGGAGAGAGGAGGGGGGAGGGGGGGGGGAAAGGAGAGAGGGGGGGGGAAAGGAGAGAGGGGGGGGGGAACAGGAGAGAGGAAGGGGGAGAGAGGGGACAGGAGAGAGGGGGGGAGGAGAGGGGGGGGGGTTGGACAGGAGAGGAGGGGGGTAGGGGGGGGTAGGGGGGACAGGAGAGAGGGGGGGGGAAGGGGGGAAAGGAGAGAGGGGGGGGGGGGAAGGAGAGAGGGGGGGGGAAAGGAGAGGGGGGGGGGGACAGGAGAAAGGGAGAGGACAGGAGAGAGGTGGTGGGGGGAACAGGAGAAGAGGGCGGGGGGGAGAGGGGGGGGGGGACAGGAGAGAGCGGGGGGGACAGGAGAGAGGGGGGAGGGGGGGGAAAGGAAGGAGGGGGGGGGACAGGAGAAGGGGGGGGAACGGAGGAGGAGGGGGGTGGGTTGGGCGGGGGGCCGGGATCATCACCATCATCTCATCACCATCACCGTCATATCATCATCATCATCATCATTCATCATCATCATCATCATCATCATCATCATCATCATCATCATCATCATCACATCATCATCCATCATCATCATCATCACATCATCCTCATCCTCATCCTAATCCTCATCCTCATCCCTCATCCTCATTCCTCATCCTCATCCTCATCCTCATCCTCCTCATCCTCATCCTCATCCCATCCTCATCCTCATCATCCTCATCCTCATCCTCATCCTCATCCTCATCCTCATCCTCATCCTCCTCCTCCTCCTCCTCCTCCTCCTCCTCCTCCTCCTCATCATCATCATCATCATCATCATCATCTGGAACGCCCCAGATCGGCGGCACTGGCCGGAGGCCACTACAATATGGTCGCGTCAGAATTTGCGCCTGACAAGGCTGCATCGGCGCGGAGTCGAGGTCGAATCGGATCGGCCGCGCCAGGATACGCCAGGATGCACAACAGCGGCATGCGAACATCGGGCCGCATCGAATCGTCGGAACATCGGAAGCGAATCGGATCGAGCCGGCCGAAATCGATACCGAATTGGATCGATCGGATCGAAGTGGGCCCTGCAAGTCTGCGTGCGAAGAGCACTTCGCAAGACTCCTGGGGGGCGGGCTGGAAGCGGCGAGAACACTGCGCTCGGATCGTACAGCGCGCTGCCGTGGCTCACCGCGTGGAGGCATTCCGCGGCCCTCCTTTTTGAGACCTCAGAAAATGGCGACGACTCTGCGCCAATGGACACGACGCGGAGGACACCCGGAGGAAGCGAGGGGGCAAAGAGGACAGGGAGAAGGAAGAGGCACGCCTTACAGCGGTCAATCCAAAACGAAGGCCTCACACAGGAGCGTTGGGACAATGGTCCAACCCGAGACAGCTGGACCCGCTCGGGGTCAAAATCTCCAGCAAACGCCGAGCCAGCCATGAACAAGAGTGTCGGAAACCGGGCGAGGTCCCTGGAAGCTGCTGCAGAAGCTCTGGGAAAATACAACGAGGGGAGGCGTCGCTTCAGCATCATTTTCAACTTCTCATTCTGCTATCTTAGCGCGGCGACCTTCTCGAGACTGCGTGCCCCAGAAAGGCTACAAGAAGGCCCTGCGAAGAACAGGTGCCGATACCTTCAAGGCGGACCCAAGAAATTCAATTTCTGGAAATGGCTGGCGGATCAGACGACGTGCAAAGACTGGGGACGCTCTAGGGGCAGGCTCCCAGAAAGCTTTGCTCTAGGTCCTGCGTGGAACAGAACAGCGGCATGCCCATGTGCCACGCCTGCGACTCGTGCCCCCGCAGCAGCAGCTTCGTGCCGTAGCCGAGATCTGGGCCAGTAGTCATGGCATCCTGGGGGGGCAGTGAGGTCACGGTTGGCAGGGGAAGAGAAAAAGGGAAGCAGAAGAAGAAGGAGGAAAAGGAGGAGGAGACGGCGACGACGACCCGAAGCCACTTTGGCTCAAGGCCGTTGGCAGCAAATCTACCCCCGCATTATTGCGTATGGGGTGCAGGCCTCAGCCCGCCGGCCGCCGCTTTGCGCTGGCGGCCTGTGGAACGCCCGAACATGCTGGATGCCACTTGCAGCATCACCGGGTAGACAGGAGGCGGTACTGCCAAAGGCGCGGGGCGACCAAAACACGCTAGGCTACGAGAAGGCGCTGGGTTGCCAGAACAAGCCGGGGTACCAGTGCCCGCTGGGTCACAGAAGGTGCGGGACTTACAGAAGGCCCACACGCTACACTACTAGAACGCGCTGGGCCATCTGATGGCGCTGGGCGACCAAAACACGCCTGGCAACTAGAAGACGCTGGGTTGCCGGCACACGCTGGGCTACCACTACGCGCCAGAGACCGGAAGGCGCCGGGCGACCAGGAGGCCCTGGGCTACGAGAAAACGCCAGGTTACCATTACACGACGGGCGACTAAAAGGCGCTGGGCTACGAGAAGGCGCTGAGTCACGATAGCCCGCCAGGCCACGATAAGGCGCCGTGCTACGAGAACACGCTGGGCTACGAGACGGCGCAGGGCTACGAGAAGGTGCTGGGCTCCCAGAACACGCCAGGGCCACGAGAAGGCGCTGCGCTACCAGAAGGCGCTGAGCCACGAGAGACCGCCAGGCCACGATAAGACGCCGTGCTACGAGAACACGCTGGGCTGCGAGCCGACGCTGGGCTACGAGAAGGTGCTGGGCTGCCATTACGGGCCACGAGAAGGCGTTGGGCTAGAAGGCGCTGAGCACGAGACCCCGCCAGGCCACGATAAGGCACCGTACTACGAGAACACGCTGGGCCACGAGAGAAGGCGCAGGGCTACGAGACGGCACTGGGCCGGTAGAACGCGCTGAGCCACCAAAACATGCTGGGCCACGAGAAGGCGCTGGACCACGAGAAGACGCTGGGCCATAAGAACTCGCCAGGCCACGAGAATGCGCTGGGCTACGACGCTGGGCTGCCAGAGCACGATGGCCTACGAGAAGGCGCTGGGCCACCAGAACACGCTAGGCCACGAGTTGGCGCAGAGAACACGGTGGGCCACGGGAAGGCGCTGGGCCACCAGGTGACGTAGATAGCGCTGGGTTGCCAAAGCGCTCTGAGCTATCAGAAGACATAGGGCCTCGAGGACGCGCCGGGCTACCTTGCGGAGCGGGGCGACCAAAAATTGCTGGGCTACCGGGAGGCGCTGGATTGAGAGAAAGGCGTCCAGCCCCTGGAAATCGCTGGACCACGAGAAGGCGCCGGGCTATGTGAAGGCGCCAGGCTACTGGGACGCGCCAGGCCACCTGGAGATTTGTTTTGCATTATTCCCCACATGCTTCGTGGGGTTCTGGTTTTCTTTCCTGCCGCGTCTCACCCGCGTTTCTCCGTCTCCTTCTCCTCCTCCTTCTCCCTCTCCTCGCACACAGAGACACACATACACACAGAAACATCAAACGCACACACACACACACACACACTGACAACGCCAGTGCGCGCGTGGCGTGTTCACCGGATCACACAGCCAAGACGCATGCACAACATAATGGGTGCCCACATGAGGCACACCAGACGCAGGCAACACAAACACTAGCCCACCCCTGACATGTTGACTGTATCATACACGGGGGTGCGCAGGGGGTGGTCTCTGAGCGCGGCCGCTATCCACGACACTGTCGCAACGCCCAGCAGGCATGGCAGCTTCCGACACCATAGCGGGTGCGCAGGGGGGGTCTCTCAGCGCGGCCGCTATCCAGGACTCTGCCGCAAAGCCTAGCAGGCGAGGCACTTTCTCGACACCGTAGGGGTTGCGCAGGGGGTGGTCTCTCAGGCGCGGCCGCTATCCACGACACTGTCGCAAAGCCTAGCAGGCGAGGCACTTTCACGACACCACAGTGGGTGCGCAGAGGGTGGTCTCTCAGCGCGGCCGCTATCCACGGCACTGTCGCGAAGCCTAGCAGACGTGGCAGCTTCGCGACACCATAGGGGGTACGCAGGGGGTGGTCTCCCAGCGCGGCCGCTATCCACGACACTGCCGCAATACCTAGCAGGCGTGGCACTTCTTGATTCCATAGGGGGTACGCAGGGGGGGGGTTCTGAGCGCGGCCACTATCCACGACACTGTCGCAAAGCCTAGCAGGCGTGGCACCTTCTCGACACCATAGGGGGTACGCAGGGGGTGGTCTCTCAGCGCGGCCTCTATCCACGACACTGTTGCAAAGCCTAGCAGGCGTGGGCTCTCAGCGCGGCCGCTATCCACGACACTGTCGCGAAGCCTAGCAGGAGTGGCAGCTTCACGACACCATAGCGGGTGCGCAGGGGGTGGTCTCTCAGCGCGGCCTCTATCCACAACACTGTTGCAAAGCCTAGCAGGCGTGGTCTCTCAGCGCGGCCGCCATCCACGACACTGTCGCGAAGCCTAGCAAGCGTGGCACTTTCACGACACCGTAGGGGGTACGCAGGGGGTGGTCTCTGAGCGCGGCCGCTGCCCACGACTCTGTCGCAAAGCCTAGCAGGCGAGGCACTTTCTCGACACCGTAGGGGGTGCGCAGGGGGTGGTCTCTCAGGCGTGGCCGCTATCCACGACACTGTCGCAAAGCCTAGCAGGCGAGGCACTTTCTCGACACCACAGTGGGTGCGCAGGGGGTGGTCTCTCAGCGCGGCCGCTATCCACGACTCTGTCGCAAAGCCTAGCAGGCGAGGCACTTTCTCGACACCGTAGGGGGTGCGCAGGGGGTGGTCTCTCAGGCGTGGCCGCTATCCACGGCACTGTCGCAAAGCCTAGCAGGCGAGGCACTTTCTCGACACCGTAGGGGGTGCGCAGGGGGTGGTCTCTCAGGCGCGGCCGCTGCCCACGACTCTGTCGCAAAGCCTAGCAGGCGAGGCACTTTCTCGACACCGTAGGGGGTGCGCAGGGGGTGGTCTCTCAGGCGTGGCCGCTATCAACGACACTGTCGCAAAGCCTAGCAGGCGTGGCACTTTCTGGATTCCATAGCATAGGGGGTACGCAGGGGGGGTCTCTGAGCGCGGCCACTATCCACGACACTGTCGCAAAGCCTAGCAGGCGTGGCACCTTCTCGACACCATAAGGGGTGCGCAGGGGGTGGTCTCTGAGCGCGGCCGCTGCCCACGACATTGTCGCAAAGCCTAGGAGGCGCGGCACTCTCTCGACACTGCAGGGCGAGCGCGGGGGGTACTCTGAGTGCAGTGATTATCCACGGCGCTGCGCGTGAGAGCTTGCGTCTTCCCCGGATCCGCAAACATCGCGGCTCAAGCCGGCGCGGCACGACCGCGTTTTTACGCAAGTTTGCCTGTACTCCCACTTGCGGGCAACAACCGCCCGACCTGCGCGCGGCAGCAATGCCGCCCAAAATTGCCATTGATCAGCTGCCGCTTCCGCGCGTGAAGCTGAAGAATGCACTGATTGAAATGGGCGACGATGTAAGCCTGGAAGGCTTGCGTGGCTGCGGGGGGGCTCTGATAAGAAACGCATTCGATGCCTATCACCGTCAACTGAAGAATTGGTGGCCCGAGACGCTTCACATGAGGTATAACGAGTTGCCGCTTCCAGGTACGAGGGACGATAGCAGGAGGAGGCAGTGCCTGGTGACATACTTGCTGAACCCTGCGTCGGGCGGGTTTCCCTTTGATGCTCTGTCTGATCTGCCTGGAGAGATGGAGGAAGACGACGGCTCGCCGCTGGCGAGGAGTTCAGCGAGTTGGGGGCGCCAAAAGCGAAGGCGCTGCCACGCTCATGCAGGCTACTCCCGCGAAGGCCCCCCCAACGCTCGCCATCACCCCGCAGCGGTCTCCGGCAGGCATGTTATTCGGTCCACTGGCACGCCTCGCATGCGTCTGCCCCAGGAGCCGGCGAACACCGACTACTGTTGGTCGCAAGGGCCATGGTCGCGGGAACTGCGAGAATCAATTCAGCTCGAAAACGTGTCGTCAAAAGCGGGTACGAAAGCAGTCACACGGTACACTGAGTTCGCGGCCAAGCGAGCTGCTGATCCGTAGTACTGGCCTTCGAGACGGGGCGACGATGCAGCCTTGTGGACGAGGATGAGGACGATGACGATAAGGACGAGGACGACGGCGACGTCTTGGAACGGTCGTTCAGCGCCTGTACTCTTGTCTGGTTGATCTGCTTGCTCTTGTTTGTTGCGCTGGCTGGCTCGTCTGGCTCGTGGTGGTGGCGATGGTAATGGTAGCGTAGTGCATACAGCAATAATATAAAGTATGTGGGGTTCCCCGGTAGCGTATTTTTTGGGGTAGCAGTGATTGGCTGGGGGGGCAAAGGGATTGGGGCCGCGGGTAACGGTAACGCTTGCGCGTCAGGGCGGGGGTGCGCTGCGATCGCCACAGTACGCGCGCGAGCACCAGCACGTGTGGTGGTGGTCCAGTCCCCCCCACACCTCTACGTGCGTTCGTTACCGTTACCCTGTGGGGGAGGGGGCGGGCAGGTCTGGCCCGGGTATCGACCTCTGATACGCGCCAGAGGGTGACAGTAAAAACGATCTCCTGGAGGTGCTGGACATAAGACGAAACCAGGACGAGGATATAACCGTGTGAAGATAAATCGAGAATATCTGAGATCTGGCGGCTCTGGAGGATGCATTGGGCGCCGCGACCTTCTCAGAGCGTTCTGGAACGCTCTTAGAGCGTTGCGGAACGCCCTGGAATAGATTCATTCCTCGCCCTAGCCCCGTCCGAGGGCAACCAGAACGCGCCAGGTTACCAAAATGCGCTGGGCCAGGGGCTGGACCGCCCGAAGGCGCGACGCGACCAAAATGGCCACGGGCTACGAGAAGACACCCAGCTGCCAGGACGCGCCAGGCTACCAGAAGGCGCCAGTCTTCGGCCTGTCCAGAGGTGCTCGAGTTCTGCTCTTGGGCCTGGAGGATCGAGGATGGAGCGCTCTGCACGCCGTCCTGTTGCTGGACGGTCCTGGCCCTCTGGTGGCTTTTCGGGGGGGGGGGCACGTAGGACAAGGCAGGCGTGGCGGAAGCGCCAAGTTCTGCCCCTGGCCCTCGAGGATCCAGGGGTGAGCTTGGTGGAGGAGGAGGAGGAGGAGGAGGAGGAGGAGGAGGAGGAGGAGGAAGAGGAGGGGGGTGGGGGAGAGGGATGGGAGGAGGAGGAGGAGGAGGAGGAGAGGGAGGAGGAGGAGGAGGAGGATGGGGAGGAGGAGGAAGGAGGAGTGGCCGCGCGATTCTGGCCCTCCCGAGGCCCCTTGGGCACCCCTGGGGGCCCTGCGGGGGGGCGGGGCGCCAGGGCCCCTCCGCGCCTCTGCTCCTCGCGGCGTACTCCCTGCCCCCTCCCCGCACTCCGTGCCCTCTCCGCCTCCCCCCTCTCTCCTTGCCTCTTCCCCCCCCTCCCTCACCCCCCCCCAACCCCCCTCTGCTCCCCCTCCCCCTCCTCCCCTCCCCCTCTCTCCCCTCCCCCTCCCCCTCCCCCTCTCTCCTCCCGCTCCCCCTCCCACCCTCCCCCTCCCCCTCTCATCTTCCCCTCCCCCTCTCTCGCGCTCCCCGCCTCCGAGAGGCTGGGCGTGGGGAGTGGGCGGCGCGGGCTTCCGAGGCGTCGCGTCGCCCCTCGTCGCTCCCCCCGCGTCTTTGCCGTCTGCTTCTGCGTGGGCACACCTCGCAGCTCAGTCTGCAGACTTCGCTTCGGGATCTGACCACGTCCGTCTCGTTTTTTCATATCCTCCCCTCCCGTTTCTCCCTCCCATTTAGTCCCTCCCCTGCCCTTTCCCTTTCCTCTCTCCGTTTCCTCTCTCTCTCTCCCCTCCTGTGTACTTCCGCCACCCTATCCCCGACCAATCCCTTCCCCTTTCTGCTCAGCTCCCTCTCCTTCCCCCTCTTCCCTCACCTCCCCTCTGCTTCTCCCTCCAGTCCACACAATGCCCCATTCCCTTTCTGAATATACCCTCCACCTCCCCCTCCCTGTCAATCCCTGTCTCCTTCCACACACCGATTGACACCCATAGCTCTTCCCAATCCCCCTCCGTTTCCTCATCGCTCCCTTTCCCCATTCCACTCCCTCCTCTACCCCCCTTTCCTTCCCCCTCCGCCTCCCCCTCCCGCCCCACCCCTTCCACACCCCTTCTCCCTCCAATTCCACCCCCCCATCCCCATTCCCCATCCAGAGGCCCCAGAAAGATTTGAAGGTGCTACAAGAACTCTACACTCGATTCCCAAAACTGCCCCTTAGCCATCACTCCAGGGTAGCCTTGAGAGCCCGCTCGGCGTCTGAACCCGTTCGGCGTCTCAGAAGGGAACCCTGAGCCTCGGGATATCTCTCGGCCCTCACGGTCGGAAATTTTTGCGTAGCGTGTCGCCGCGGCGGCCCCGGCGACACGCTATGCCCTGCAAGCGGATAGCGTGTCGCTCCGCTCCGCTCCAAGGGGCGGGAGGCTCGGAAAGGCTCGGGAGGTTGACGCCTGGGGACCGGGAAGTGGATAGCGTGTCGCGCCGAAGCGTGGTGGGCCAGAACCGGCGGAGCGACACGCTAAGCCAAAGTTCCTGACCGCATCCCTCGGTGGTTTCGGGTCATAACTGGGGCCTTCGGCGGCCGTTCGGGACGATCCAGGCACCCCTGGAACGCCCTCGGCGAGGCGCAACTGCTGGAACCCACCCCGAGGCTGCAAAACTGCCGAAAACTAAAGAAAATGCCGAAAACCTCGAACCTCGAACCAGCGGGGCAACATGCTATCCACAAGTTCCCAACCATATTCCACCCTCCCGGCAACTCCTCCTCCTCCTCTTCCTCCTCCACCTCCTCCTCCTCCTCTGGACTGTGGACTGATGGGAGACAGATCCAGCGGATGCTGCCCTCCCCGCCCCAAGGCCTGTCGGCCCTGGGGGGCTGATCAAACTAATGAGCCAGGCGACTCCTGGAGCGGTCGCTCCAGGAGTCGCCAGCTGGGGTAGACAGCATTAGGAGAAGGACAGCAGGCAGCAGTGTGAGCGACGAATGGCGGAGGCGAGCGAAGGGGAGAGGGAAAACAAGGAATTCATGAAAGAGCGAGGGAAGATGGAGGCAGGCTCCGCCTCCTCCTCCTCCTCCTCCTCCTCCTCCTCCTCCCTCCCTCCCTCCCTCCCTCCTCTCCTCCTCCTCCTCCTCCTCCTCCCTCCTCCTCTTCCCTCCTCCTCTCCTTCGCCTCCTCCTTCTCTCCTCCTCTCCACCTCGTCCTCCTCCTCCTCCTCCTCTCTCCTCCTCTCCTCCCGCCCGGCCTCCCCTCGGCCCCTGCCCCTCCCTCCTTCTCTTACTCCTCCTCCTCCTCCTCCTCCTCCTCCTCCTCCTCCTCCACCTGATCCTCCTCCGACCCTCCAGGCAGCTCCTCGTATTCGGCACGGATGTCGGCGTCGCACGCCTCGTACAGGAGGCAGGGCACGCGGACCACCTCGTTCTGGCGCAACGC